GGCACCGTAGGGCCAGGGCCCACAGTCCCCTGCCCTCCCCCACCCAGCAGCACCTAAGCCCCAGCTGCTGCAGCTGGAGCAAAGTGCAGAGCCTGGCTTCTGCCTCCCCTCTCCTTGCTCCATCCCCTCCCCCATGGGCAGCACTGCTGAAGCAGAGTCTGTGGAGGGAGGAGAATGCAGGCTGCCCACTACAGGGTCCCTGCCCTCCCCATGGGGGCTCTATAGCCCAGTGGGCACAGCCAGGCAGCAGCACCTAAGCCCCAGCTGCTGCAGCTGGAGCAAAGTGCAGAGCCTGGCTTCTGCCTCCCCTCTCCTTGCTCCATCCCCTCCCCCATGGGCAGCACTGCTGAAGCAGAGTCTGTGGAGGGAGGAGAATGCAGGCTGCCCACTACAGGGTCCCTGCCCTCCCCATGGGGGCTCTATAGCCCAGTGGGCACAGCCAGGGATGGGAGGGAGGGGGGGCCACGCCATGCCATGCCACCATGGCTGCCAAACTGAGGCAGCCCCCGTTCACCCACTGAGGCAGCCCCTGTTCACCCGGCAGCAGCATGGGCCCAACTCTGTGCTGCTGCTGCTCCTGTCATGCCTCACTTTGGCTCCTACTGGCTCCTCCTTCCCACAATTGGTCCTACCCACTGGGCCATAGAGGTGGCTCCTGCTGGGAGCTGGTCTGGCCTGGTTGCAGCCCCAAACCCAATTGTAGGTGCAGAAATCTCTGAGGGCATGTTTATCATGACACCATCTGCTGATGTTGTGATCCCATTTGGAGTTGTGACCCACAGTTTGGGAACCACTGGGCTAAAGAGAGCCCAGGAGCCAAGGAAGGGCTAAGATGGACAGGACTAGAGAGCCCAGGGCAGGGTTGAGAGAGTGATGTGGAACAGGGCCAAGGGCCCATTAGATTGATTGAGACTATGACCAAGGGCCCATGGAACTGACTGATGATAATTAATTGATTTCTAACATCTGAATGGCTTGGGTGTGGCTAAAAGGGGAGACAAGGGGGTCATGATCTTGCCTTTAAGGCACTGAGCAGGTAGCCCATGGCTCATGAGATCTTGCTCAGCTCCTGGGGCAGCCTCCTAGGGTCACAGCTGGAGCCACAAGGGTATAGCTGGAACCCATTCACCCTGGGAGCAATTCCCACAGTCCCTCCTGCCCTGCCCCAGGTCAGAGCTGGGAGCCCCACACCTCCAGGCAGCAGGCTCCAGCCACTCCCTCTGCCCCCCGTGTGGCTGCTGCCACCCCTCGCTCCGCACCCAGCTGGAAAACCTGTGCCTCAGGTAACCAGCACTTTTAGCTTACTGGCATTCCCCACTCATACCGGATAACAGGGACTTTACTGTACTTGTTAACGTCAAGGCATGACAGGAAAACAGAAGATAAGGATGCTTAGAAGACAAGGTGAAACAGGGGCTGAGTAGCCACCACGAGGCATCATGGCCACCCCTGGGGCCGACCTTTGTTTCAAAGATTTATGTTTTTATTTTTTTATGCACAATCTTACAAACACCTATAAATAATTAATGCTAAAATACTCACTTTTTCTTCTTATTTCGAATGGCATCATGTATAGTCTTCACTTGTACTGCCACAACTGATAGAACTTCTACTGAAATTCGATTAAACTCATCAAAGCATCCCCAGGCACCTGTCTGTACTAAACCCTTATATATATTTCCTATGGACTAAAAGAGAGAACCAAACATTTAATATTTTTAGTTTTCTTAAAGTAAACTTTTTCATGTATTATTTGATAAATAAAAGAGCACCATTTAATAGAATGCCATACCTTATAATCCATCTGCTCAGAGCAGTTGAAGACATAGACCATCATACCAAGGGCATGACCCAGATCTTTGGTAGTCTCTGTTTTACCTGTACCAGCTGGACCTGCAGGAGCCCCACTCATTGTTAGGTGCAGAGACTGGGTTAAAGTAATGTAACACCTTCAAGCAATGAAAACTATAGTTATTTACTACCTAATGCAGAGAACATCACTATAAATGATTGAGACTTTTAAAACCTAAAAATGTTCAGAAATTTAAAAGTTTGCACTATGTCCTTAATTTTACAATTTGTTCATAACTACAATATGATCATGTAAAAGTTCACTGCAACATTAGCTAGCAAGTATTTATTGTGCATTCAAAAGTCAGTTCCAGTTTTTGGGTCCCTCCAGAAAATCTGACATTTAAAAAATTCTCTCATTTTGCAAGGGAACGAAATAGAAGCCTCTTTTCCATAAAGAGAGTGTTCTGGATCAGAACAGCTAATAGGTTAGTGCAGGGACATCAAACTCACTCTATACCCTAGGTCAGATTCCAGCCTGTGAGGAGCCCCATAATCCAGATTCATACAGGGTGAGCAGCATCAGTGGTCATTAATTAAGCCATTTCTTGACCCCTGCCACTGCCATGTCATGGATTTAGGCAGCAGGTCCCACTCCCGAATTCCTGGCCTCTCTACCAGGCCTGCAGGTTATACAACATGGTTCTGCAAGCCAGATCCAATCCACAGGCCATAACTGAGACATTCCTGGGTCAGTGGTTAGAAGACCCTTTTTGCACGAGGGAGCAACAAATTTAAGCCCCAACTCTGCTTTATCAGATCAGAGACTTTAACCTGGCTCTCCCACCTTCTAGCCAGTACCCTAAACACTAGCTTACTGGCTAGTCTAGGCCTTTCTCTCTTCAACCCAATCTTCCTGGGACCTGAGAAATCTTTCCTAAGGAAATTTTCTTTGAAACTTTTCATGGGACTGTGCCAGCTCTTGTTTCAACAAACTGGCATTTTTCAACAGCCAAAAAGATTTCCTTGAAAATTCTTGATCAGCTCTAGATACATGCAATAATTTATATATTTGTCAGGATACATGAGGAGTATATGCCACATTAACTAAACTAAAATAGCCTATACTCATTATGTAACTAAAAAGAATAATAAATGGGCCATAACTTTTTATTTATAAACACACTAAGACATAATGCTATTGCATGTGTCATATTAACAAATCTTTTAAAAAAGGCCTTAACAAATATCTGAAAGAGCTAGAAAGAGAGATTTTTCCTAAAGCAAGCTCCTGCATTCTATAAAATGGATTAAATAGAGATTATTAGTAAATCTTTACCTGTCAGTCAGAGGTGTAATAACCAAGCGGGGAGTATTTCCCAAATACTCATAAAAGTACTGGAACTGAGCATCACAAATGTCAGCAAAGCAGTGTTTGTTGGCCTCATCCCATCTATGACATAGTTGTGACAGCCAAGTAAAAGCTTGGGAATTGGTGACCTAAAATAATTGCACAGCTATTATGTTATATAGAAGCTGCTGAGATGAAAGAAGCCAGACATGCCAAACTGCTTCAATAGTCATTGGTAAGTTTCACACCTCATTCCTAGTCATTTATGAGCAATGACTACTAAAGCGAAATAATAAGGATTAGATTTGCTTCGGGGCATTTGTGCATTTAAAAGAGAAACAAATATAATGTAAGATGTATAACAAATGTAATGTAAGAACATTTTAATAGGGCACATTACTACTTATTTTGCCAAGACTTCTGTTTTAAAACCACACAGATTTGACCAGACACCACTTACACATGCACCTACTAGCATAGTTTCATTTTACTTCTCAGATGCTCTCTTTCATGTTGCCTGCAGCCCTAATGCTATCACATGACTGGGGCCACAAAATAAAGACCATTACTTTACCAGCATGCCTATATATCATATTTATATGTTAGAACATTTTTTTTGGCACAAAATTAAACAAATGAACCCAACTGAATCCCTCATCCTAGAAGGAAACCTAGTAGAGCACTGATTCCCAAAGAGTGTGCTACAGCAAAGTGTGAGATCCCATTAGAGGTAAAATGCTCTCCTCCTACATCTGGCACTATATATCTGTTCCAGCTACTCCAGTGGTGCCTGTGGCTGCTCCTCTGGGGACTGCTGCCAATTCTACTGCCTTCCCCTGCCCTTTCCCAGCTTCAGGCAGCCCCTGTGCCATCCTGACACTCCCGGCAGCGTGCTCTGCTATGACCAGGCAGATGGACAGATGGACAGAGCTGTGTTTTGTAGCCCTGCTCATCTCCTCTACTTCTGCCACACTCCCAAAGCCAGGAGGAGGAGGGGCCATGAGGGTGGTTGCTGGCATGTGAGGTGCTACAGGAACAATCTTTGCAGTGGGGGCTGCCCTTGTCCCCTGAAGAACAGAGCAGAAGTTGGGAGGGGCAGACTGTGAAAAGAGCAGGGCAAAGCAAGATGAGGTCCTGACCCTACTGCCCTTAAGTTCTACCAGATAGATCAGTGATTCTCAACTTGTTTAATCTCAAGGCCCACTCTATCTTTTCTGGATTTAGATCCATTTCAGTGATTCTTCAACTAGGGTGCCACAAAATTCAGAAGTGTGTCATTAGTTTTAATCCAGAAAAACTGTGCCCCAGATATCAAAAGTATGGGAAACATTGTCGTAGATAAACAGAGGTGAGACAAAAATCAGAGTCTCAGGGAGTCAAGGAAAAAAATAACCCTCTTCATACAACCTCCAGTAAAAGGTAATATACATTCGAGTTAGTGTGCCTGAAACTTCAGCTGAACAATATTTCATGTATATTAATATGCTTATTCTAAAACCTTCATGCAAGTCATGCCTTCAAGGTTTGGAGACATTCATGCAGTCTAAGCAGAAATTAGAACAAAAGCAGCTAGCAGCTGCATAATTCAAAATGAAGAGGCCACATAGGAAAGCTCACTAGGAAAGTGAGTTCTTCACTAGTAAGTGAGAAAGACCTTCATGGATCCCATGATCATTTGAATAGCTGAAGGTAATATATATGCACATTTTTGTGATTTGAGAGTATGGACACAACATTTATTATGAAGTAAACTGACTTTGCAGTAAACGTGGAGTGGACCCAGGACATGCAACCTTAGTATGGAATAAGTTCTCTTTCCTAGAGCAGCAATAGCCCATGAAAGCTTGTGATAACTTTATTCTCAGGTGAATTTTGTGTTCACTCTCTTAGTCAACTTCATCCCAAGATAGCTCTTTCTTCAATACAAAGTGGCTCCCTTCTACCTAGCAACAAGGCACTCTTAACAGCATCTGCTAGAAGCAGCTAGCTTTGAAGAGTTCTTCTTGTATCTGCTCCTTACTATGGAGTCAAATCTGGGATAAATTACTTTGTAGAATTACATTATGAGTCCACACATGATGTTTAGAAAGAAATCTTGCTGACCACAGTGTTGAACCTGGCTGAAAGTTAGAGTAATTCCTAAAAATAGGAAAAGCAAGAACTCTAAGCCTAATTCCTCATTTAGATTTTAGATTTCTGAAGACAAGCACTCAGAAGGGGAGTCTAGTCATTGGACTCCAGTCAATGGCCCAGTCATTCAAATACACAGCTGGAAAACAGGTAGTTCTTGTATCCATACATGTGCCATCACCCCTTCCATGTGCACTCATACAGTCCTGGGCACAACTATGGCTTAAAAGTATTATTGCTTTATAAAACCCCTGAGACTTTGTACGCAAGATGGATTACAGTTTAACATTTACCTTCTGAGCTATAAGTTTTGCAACAACATCTCTAGCATGTACATCTATAGTGCAAATAGTCATGATTTTCTGTCTTTCACCTGAAGTAAGTTCTCCCAGCAGCAGGGCAATAAGAGCATTTAACTGAGTGATCTAGGAAATAGGAAAATAATTCTGTTACAACATTTGATACCCCACAAACCACTGGAGACTGGATTTATTACATGGACCAAATTAATTGACAAACTGTCTTGAATATGTAAATATATAAGCACAAATATTAAAACTAGGACACTGGGATCAGTTCAAGGAAAATCAATACTAGAAATATGGTGATAATTAGGACTAACTAGCTTGTCTAAAAAACCTACTGCCATAACAATGCAAAGCAGGAATAGGAAGGAACAAGTTGATCCCACTGGGTGCGGTAAGGGCAATGGGATAAAATTAAACTGGAACATTATGGTCAATACCATCTCATGATTAAGATGTTCTTAGTATATCCTTTCCTTTTGAGAGTCTAATAAGTGCTTGAAACATTTTCACTGCTGAAAGCACTTGAAATGATATTGTAGAAAAGTACCATGGTTTTAGTAAAGGAAATAAGGCAATGAATGAAGGATTTATAAAATCTAACATGGGTGATAGATAAATTCCAGAAATTCATAAATATCCTTAAAGAACATGTTCTCTTTACAATGTTTCAGATAAATTAAAAAGATCTCAGCCTAAGGCTGCACATGTGTAACGCAGGTGGTACGCAGAAACGTACCCCGTCTTCAAATAAAGGGATATCAGCGGGTGCAGGTATGCTGTGGGAGGCATGGCAGCCTGACTGTATGCAGTTCCTCTCCTCTTCCTATTGAGCAGAGAGCCAGGACACTCAGCAAATCTTAACTATATACAGCGTTAATATTATAAAAGAGTTTACAACGCATAATCACCAACTTATACACACACATATATGTGTATATCTATATATTTATATTTATATAACTGTAAAAATATAGATATTTATATATTTACAGTTATTTATATAGTTACAGTTATGAATTTACCCAAACATTCGATAATTAACCCTGAACCCATAAAAAGGCCTGGTTCCCAGTGGTATCCAGGTTAAATTGTAGCCCCTGCCCCTCGTTCAGTGCCCTCCAGGCCTGAGGGGGAGAGGGAACAAGGATAAAACAGGAGTTAGTAGACAGACCAATAACAATATGCCTGATGAGTCAATAATTAAATATTCACAACAGGGGCACATCAAATACAATACATATACGTACAATACTCTATACAATTAATAGCAATACAGGGCAGTGTATTCTCCCGGCTGGTCAGCCCACACTCTGTTCTGTGCACTGGCCCTGTTTCTGCCTTATGCAGGGTTGGAGACCCATGAAGTCCCTTCAGCTCCATGGCCTTGTGCACCGGTGGCCCTGCTCCTGCCTCGTGCATGATTGGGGACCTGTGCTGCATTGTGCAGCTGCCGCAGTCCCGTCTGTTCTCGGACCCTCTGTGCACCAGCCTGTACACCGTCACCCCTGCCTTGTACAGGGGGTTGGAGATCTGCAGTGCTACGTGCAGCGGCTGAGGTCCTGTCTGTTCCTGGACCCTCTGTGCACCATCACCCCTGCCTTGTGCAGAGGATTGGAGACCCACATGGCCTCAAGCAGTGACTGTGGTCCCGTGCACTGACTTGTGCACCATCGCCATGGCTCCCTCCACAGCAGGTCAGGATTGCAGCTGCTTGTTGCTCCCCATCCAGTGAAGGCATCTTCAGGGCACTTCTGGTGCAACTGTTCTGCCCTGCTGGTCAGTTCAACCAGCTCTTCACAGCCTTTTTTTGTCGTCCCTCATCAAAGCCATCTGTGTGCTTCGCATGCGGGCTTTTATTCCCTCTGGAGTCTCCGCCCCAGATTGGGAATGGACCAATGAGGAAACCTGAGGGTTTAGTTCCCTTTCAGAGGGGCTGCCTTCCCTCTGCCTTCCCCCGATTGGTGGGGAAGGAAAAACTGTCTCCACCAACAGAGTCCAAGCCCTTCAGGCTCAAATTAACAGTCCGGACTGCCAGTGACCCCACTAGCCAGCCCGCCACACACATTTTTATTTAGCTTGATATAGCATTTACAGAAGGAGATAACTTAATGGATAAGCAGTCTATGACACAGGTTGTTTGTATGCATTTAGACCTTCCTATGAAAAAGGTACAGAATGAAAGGAACTTCAAAAACTGTACATTTTTACATTATTATTACACAATTTAAATATCTTTTTATGGAGGGCAGAGTTAAGGATGAGGCAGTTATTTCACTGAATAAAATTGCTTTGTTTGTGAAATGCAGTCATAACACCTAATTTTCTTGCTTTCTAACAGGATATGTGACAGTCAAGCAAGAGAAGAACATCGTGGCTAATTTCATTTTGAATTAGCCTATCACACCACAACTTCACAGGACACTGAAGGACAAAAAATTTAAGTTGAATTATGCAGCACCCTGATAGACTTCAAATTTTCTTTCAAAAGTTACCACATACGTTTCCTCTGCACTCTCTACCCAGTGCAAAGGGAGCAAAAGTTTGCCATTCCAGGTATGGAGTGGTTGTGGCACAAAGTATTAGCATATGCTACCTAAGGAGAAATCACTGCCCACTGACAGCTCACAGAAGCCCACTCCAGGGCCAGCACAAAGAATTGACTCCTGTATAGTGTCCTTGTTGTGACGAAACAGAAGAAGATCTGACCCAATGTGATACACACATTATGTACCTTTGAGATAAAGAAACAACATGAGATCATAGCAAGTCATCAGTTTTTAAGCAGCTCCACCCCTTTCAAAAAGGGTCAGGGGGAAACTGCTTAAACATTAATGGCAGAATATTGGCCAATAAACCACATATGTGACTTGACATTGTGACATGACTTCTGTGATTAGTTGGGCTTAATTTTTTCCTCTTCTCTACTTGCAGAGATCAACAAAGAATTATTTGTTCTGGCAGATCATACAATGTAGTCAAATTTGATCTAGTTTTAAAATTAAACTACTCCATTTAAATGTTTGCAAGATGAAAACTAAGAATGCTAATATTAGAATACTATTTTAATGGGAATTATGGGGAAACAGATGGCAAAGCTGCAAATCAAACAGCAGAAAAACACCCATTTTAAGTGAAACAAAAAGTAAAGAAAGGTTTGTTTGGCTCTGTTGATTTAGAATCAAATCACATAAATCACAAATCTTAACCAATCCAAGTGTCAGTTTCACTTACATGCATTATTCTCCACCCACTTCTTAGATGCACAATCCAATCGTTTCCAATATCATGGGTGTCCTGTCACATTTTTGTCTACCAGTTTTCAGTACGTTCTACAATTTAAACTGGCTAATGATTTTGGGGCATCCTAATTTTGCACAATTTGAGATGCTTTAAAATAGGAAGGACAGGAACACTGGCAAGTTGCATGATCTTGGACCCATCACATACTTCCATTACACCATGTTACTGACTTGCAGTACATGGGCAATAACCATTTTCTGAAAGATCAAGATATTTTAAGATGTCTCAAGTTTCAAATCAAGCAACTATGGTGACCTAAAACACTAGCTGATTTTGAAAATACAGGTCTATAAAATGTTTCTTGAATAAACACCCTGACAGTTAATTATTAGAAATATAAACCTCCAAGAGTCAGTATTAAGTTTCCAGACTAGATCTAGTTAGTACAAAACATGTCTGAGAAATGCTAAATCTTAAAAGAAGAAAACACAGTATTCCTATTTTACCTTACTTTTGTTTTTATCATTCCTTCAAAATGAACTCACAGATAACTTTAAAACCAGTTTTTATTAATGAAAAAAGACACTGAAAGGCACAGGTTATAACAGGGAGAGGGAAATGGAAGAGAGGAGCAGATAGCCCTTTTTCAGAAAACGACAGCGTTAGTTGATAAATAATGTTTGACTACAAAAACATCTAACATGTCATCCAAGCCTTTCTGTGCAAGTAGGTTCCATTTTCATATTTTACTGTTTTTCATTCAAATACAACAGAAGTCAGAAATGGTACCTGCTTCTTATTATAATCCTTTAGGGCTGTTTCAAACCCCTCTTCTAGCCTCTTGAATGCTATTCCAACATCTGTGGTCCACCAGATTTGTGAGCTGGTAAGTACAACTTGAGCAGGGTAGTCAAAAATCCACTGCTCCCTCATCTTTTCTTCATAGGCTACTACAGCTTCCATGATGTAGTGACGCACTGTTTGGCGCATGGCTTCTTCAAGGTGTTGTAACCAATTCTCCACCTTATGGAAAACAATAACATGATGTAGGAGTGTTCAAAAAGGAGCTGCGTCTGATTTCAAAGTGTATTTCTTGGCATATATTTTCTCATTAATAAAAACAAAACTCTTACATGCTTTTGCAAATTCCAGTTGAAATCTATTTTCTTTCTTCATTTTGCCCCTTTTTAGCATGATGTACTAATGCACATCCTTTCATGGAAACAGAGACAGTAAAACTTTTTATATTTCCCTCATTTAGTTTTGCTTATTTCAGGGCCGTCCAGTTTATAGTGGCTGTGGCCATGCCAGCACTAACATCAGCACAACAGCCATGGCTTCCCTTCTCCCCCCTGCACTCTTGCTGCACCATACAAGTGGGCATGGGCTCCCCCAGCCCTGTGGTCTGTGCCACTATGCTCTGCCTTGCCCCACTCCACCCTGGGGTAGGAAGTGGAAGCTGGAAGACGGAGGGAGAACTCGGCAACCATGGCTGCTGCTGAAGCCAGAGCAATAGGGGGTACCAGCAGCTTGGTGGGAAGCAGGGCTACAAAATAACCCCTCAGGCTGCATGTTGTCCATGCAGTTCAACAGCCCTGGCAGATATGATTTTAAGGCTCACCAAATCTAGCTGACTAAGAGCTGTGGATAGAAACATCCTCTAATTTATCTACAAAACAGGTGCATAGCAGATACTGGCAGTGCAGATTTCTCTGTGTCACTCCTTCAACATGCCTACACTGTCTCTTGTTGGAATCATTTTTAAAAGTTAGGTCTTTTTCCTTATTTAGTCTCTGGCCTCTCTACCATGGACATGAACCATTAGAACTAGTTATGATAACCAGTTTTCTGTGAAGTGAACACTTCTCTGTTGGGCACTACACTAGACCATCATACTTTTGTTACAAAAGCCATAGAACACCCATCAAACAGAAAAGACTTTGAGACATTACCAAAATAAGTCTTATATCCTTAATGGAAGTAGCAATGGATTTCAAGGAAAATCTGGCCTATAGAAAGTATCTGCTACCAAATTTGCCAAGTGAGGAGTGTGTCTACATCATGATCTAGGTTTGGGAGTCAGATGTGAACTGGCCAAATTCACGGACAAAACCAAATTATGGGGGAGGGCCGTCACACCGCAGGAAAGGCTGGGAATACAGGCCAACATGGACATACCCTCAAGGTAGGCTGACCAAAACCAGATGGCCTTTAATACAGAAAAGTGCAAGGTGCTGCACCTCGGTAGGAAGAACCCACAAAATATTTACAGGCTCAGCAGTGCTACACTTGCTAGCACCATGACTGAAAGGGACTTGGGGGTCTTGATTGACCACAAGATGAATATGAGCCACCAATGTGATGCGGTGATTAGCAAAGCTAACCAAATTCTGGCGTGCATCCACTGATAAAAACCAAAACCAGGGAAGTCATCCTCCTACTTTACTCAGCCCTGGTGAGACTGCAACCAGTATTGGGCCCCCTACTTCAGGAAGGATGTGGAGAAGCTTGAGAGAGTCCAGAGGAGAGCGACTCATATGATCCAAGACCTGGAGGGAAGGCCGTACGAGGAGAGGCTGAGGGACTTGGGACTCTTCTGTCTGTAGAAGAGAAGGCTCAGGGGGGATTTGGTGGCAGCCTACAACTTCATAAGAGGGGTACATCAGGACCTGGGAGAACATCTGTTCACCAGAGCTCCCCAAGGGATAACAAGGTCTAATGAAGGTCTATTTAGACTGAATATTACAAGAAAGTTCTTTACAGTCCATGTGTCCAGGGTCTGGAACAAACTCCCCCCAGAGATAGTGCAAGCACCTTCTCTGGATTCCTTCAAAAAACAGTTGGACTTATTTTTTGCTGGGGTCACTTGATCCAGCTCCTAATATCTATGAAATATATGCTCAAGGCTGGAGTTAGACAGTGTACCAACCACTCTGTGGCACAGCAGATTCTCTGACTAATTCTCTCTGAGAATTCTCAAAACAGCTCTCAAAGGCAGTACACTCAAAAGACCTAGATGTCATGGGTGACCTCAGTTACCCAGATATCTGCTGGGAGGAGCAGTTGGCCAGGTCTGCCCAGTCACGTAGGTTCTTAACCTGCATACAGGACCTGCATCTAACACAGGTGGTATGCAGTCCCACTAGAGGAGATGCCTTACTTGACTTAGTGCTGGCCACTGGGAAGGACTTGGTAGGGGATCTACAGGTACAAGGTAACCTAGGGGATAGTGACCAGCAGTTGACAGGATTAACTATCCGGTGTAAGGTGGGAAAGACAACTAGTAGGGCAGTAGCGCTAGACTTCTGGAAGGCCAGCTTCAACAAGCTCAGGAGATTGGTTAGGGTGGGACTGAGGGGTAATCACAACTGTGAGATGGGAGCCCAAGAAGGGTGGGAGTTCTTCAAGGGACTGATTATACAGGCACAGAGGGACACCATCCCAGTACACCAAAGGGAGGCAAAAGAGCCAAAAAAACCTTCTTGGCTGATCAGGGAAATCCAGGAGAGTCTTCAGAGGAAAAAAGATGCCTACAGGCTGTGGAAGCAGGGGGCAGCGACCAAGGAGGAGTATACCTGCTTCGCTTGTACTTGCAGGGAAGCAGTGAGGAAGGCCAAAGCAGATACAGAACTCAGAATGGCAACAAAGATTAAGGATAACAAAAAGTCCTTCTTTAAGTACATAGGGAGCAGGAAGAAGGCACAGGGTAATATAAGGCTGCTACAGAATGGACTAGGGCAACTCATAACTGATAGGATGGAAAAAGCAGAGCTCTTAAATAATTTCTTTGCTTCTGTTTTTCTGAACACAGATACAAATACACCTCTGTAACAGGGGGGCTCTCTCAGGGCCAGTCTACCAATGGCCCACCCACCTGTTTCTGGGCCAACTGCCTGTCTCCCCTCCTGCCACACCTTGATGATATATAATGATGATCTTAATTAGGCAGGAGGCTGCCCATTTCTTGCCCCCGATGCCAGGGGGCACCATCTGTGGCTCTGTTCATCCCCTACACTGCAGCCCAAGTCTCACAGATGGCATCACAGATCTTAATGTCACCCTCCCCATACTGGGCCCCAGAATCCTTCAGTCCAGATCCCAACTGGATCCCTCCAATCAGGCGGCCTACTCCAGCCTCATTCTGGGCTGGCTAGCTCCATGAACTCTTCCCCCTCTTGGGTGTGGCCCCCCTGGGACCTTTGACCACACAGATCCTGGCCTCACCTCCAAGGCCAGTCAGAAAACCCAAGCCCTTAGCTCTGGGCATCCCTTGCGGTGGGCCCCTGGCCCTTTTGACCTTTCTGGTCCTGGCCCAAGCATTGACCAGTTGAGGGTGTTTTAAGTCATATTCCTGAGCCTCTAGCCCACTCTCTAATCTGCATCCACCTTCTTAGCCCCACTATGGGGTAACCCACCCGGTTGTGGGAGATGGGGTTATTAAGGTGCCTGACCCACCTTTCACTGGGGTGGTAACTGGCCTGGCATTTCCAGGAGGCTCCCTTGCCACTGGGAGCCCCACCAGGCCACCCACTCCTGGCAGGGTGGTTTTAGGTCATACCCAAGACCAGGAGCCTCCAAACTATCCCCTTAAGCTCCTGCCCTTACCTCCAGGATGTTGCATTCAGCCTTGCAGCCAGGTGATGTTTCTGCCTGACCTGCCAGCAGTGAACTGCTCTGTTTATAAAGGCAGTCAGAGATCTAAAATGGCTGGCACAATCAAAAACCC